TATGTAACTTTTAAACATGTTATATAACATTTTTCTATGAAATGATAGTTGTTATATTAAATGATTAATTATTACTACATGTATATAATAGTGGCGAAAGCTACTCTTTCATATATGAGTTTTTCTAATTACACCTCTAACATGCGGATTATTTCACCTACCTACTGTTTTCAAAATTTTAATAAAAGTTTTGCTAGTCATATCATATCATCATACTATAAATGAAATATTTTTCCTTTCATCACATTATGGCTTTTCAACATTCTTTTTAATAATATTATAAATTAGTTAAATAATGCTATATAAATATAAAAAAACATCTACCTAAACATAAAATTATAATTGTTTGAAAATCATTTTGATTCATAAGCGAAAAATATATACTCGATTATATTTTATAAATGAATTTATTTTATAATGAATTTTTGAATCATGAAAATACATATAAACAAACTTTCTATGTAGCTTTACTAGATTTATGATTTTGGGATTTAACAATAAGTTATTCATAAAACTTCCTTTTTTGGATAACTACTTACAAGATTATTGAAAAATTGAATTATTACAAAAAAGAAAACATCTATCTTAACATAAAATTATAATTATTTGAAAAATCATTTTGCGTCGTAAGCACAAAATCTATACTCGATTATATTTTATAAATCTATCATTTTATAATGTATCGTTCATCATTTGCGATCATTTAGGGAGAAATTGTTGAAGCATGGAAATGCTCTATAAATTATGAGTGATAAGTTAGGTTATTTTATTCCTTTTCTTGTATTGAAAGGTGTCTCTCTCTATAAATAGAGAGAGATGGTCATGTATTATTGAAAAAATGTACACCAAAATGTAGTTCTCTAGTGAGAGAGAGAGAGAGTATGGTGGGATTTCTCCCACCAAGTGTTCTTTATTTTCATATTCTATCTCTTTCTTTCTAGTAAAATTATTGAATTACTCATCTCTTTTATGTTTATGACCGTTAAATCTCAAGATGTTCTTATTCCGCACAAACCAATCATCAAAATGGGCTACAACATCTTTTTAACTGATTTTTAGTTGTACCTTTTTACCAATTCAAGTCTTTATGTGAAGGGATTGTTGGAGGTTGTGAAAGAGATTTTGCCTACTGCTGAACACAGACAGTGTGCAAGACATATTCTTGCTAACTTTATGAAAAGATTCTCCGGAGTACACTATGAGAAGATGTTTTGGAAGGCATGCAAGGCATTTTCCGAGCCTTTATTCAATGCGACAATGAAGGAAATCCAATTTCTTAATCATCTAGCCTTTGCATATCTGATGGAAAAGAACCCACAATCATGGTGTAGAGCTTTCTTTCAAGAGGGCATGATGTGTGATGCAGTAAAAAATGGATTGTCAGAGAGCTTTAACAATGCCATAAGAGATGCAAGGAAAAAACCAATCATCACAATGCTAGAAGAGATTAGATTGTATGTTATGGAAAGACAGTTTAATTTGAGCATGAAAGGTAGTTCATGGCCTGAATTTGAACCTTGTCCAACAATTACAACATTACTTAATCAACTGAAAAAAGCTTAAAGGTAAAAAAAATTATTTGTTTGACTAACATCAACACTACTAAACATAGACTAACTTGTATCCAATATCTTGGTTTTACCAAATGGTTTAAACTAGTTTGAGACAAGAAACTTGGCAAAGTCTTTTGTGCTGGATTTGGACAAGAAGACATGTTCTTGTAGAGTATGCCAATTAAATGGATATGGGTGTGTGCACTCAGTTGCAACAATCTCCTACCTAAACAGAGATGTTGGAAGTTATGTGGATCCCATGTTCTCTGGAGCTGCTTACAGGAACACTTACAAGTATCCAATGCATGGGATGAATGGTAGCAATATGTGGCCATGCACTGATTTCATACCACCACTGCCACCTTTGAGGAGAAAAATGTCAGGCTGGCCAAAAGTTAATAGAAAGAAGGACCCAAATGAAAATAGTACTAGACACACCGTGTCAAAGGTAGGGAAGAAAATTCTATGTAGTGTGTGTAAACAAGTTGGTTGCAACAAGGTTACATATCCTCAAGTTAAGAAACCCAAAAAAGTTGATAAGCCCGAAAAACTCAGAGTGGAGAGAAAGAAATGAAGTAGTAAAGATGTTAAAGGGGGGGGGGAGAGGAAGTAGTGGTGTAAAATCAAATGAAGCTGCAGGAGCTTAAGAGAAAGCAAAAACAACAGGTGCATGGAAAAGGAAGCTTTCTGGGAGGATTATAAAAAAATTGGCTAAAAGGGTTGAAGGAAAAAATGGAGAAGACAATTAATGCGAACATCCAGTGGATACTGATTAGGGAAAACTGGTTGTATGATGTTTGATTTAAGTTTGCTTGTTAGACTGCTATGTTGGTTGGGTTTAGCTTTGATGAATGTCATGAACGAAACTTGGTTGTTAGACTAATATGTTTGTTGTCATTTGCATGTATGAATATAATGGACGTACATGGTTATATGAAGCTTATTATATGTTATTGTATTATAATGTGGTCCCATTACCAGTACAATTGTTGTATGTTGTATATTATTGTATTTGTATGTGGGTGCAATTGTTTTGTATTGTAAGTTACATGTTGGATCTTATTGCATGGACACTTATATCACAAAGATAAACAACTATATGTGTAATGTACACACAACACAATAACATTTTCATCAAATAAAAAACGATTTCAAATCCATTACACATACATTGTTAAACATAACAGGAAACATGAAATTAGAATGTTAAACATAACAAGAAAAATCCATTACACACCGATTACAACTTATAGACTAATATGACAAAGAAAACAACCCAACTTAGAAATAACCAAATTTCAGCTTCCTAACATCCGATTGAAGCTTCTTATTTGACCTAACCAAAGTTGTAAACAACTGTTCGTCACCACTTGTGTTTGTAGTCTCCACTTCATCTGCCCAACATATAAACCCATCACGAGGACCCTAAAAATAAAAGTTTTCGGAGTATGTTACCAAAACCCATAAAACGATAATGTAAATCTAGGCCAATAGTGGAATGAAAATGCAATTGACATTGTACCTTTTTGAGGCAAGCATAGAAGAGTCGACCAGGGTTGGACGGAGCAGTTGGCGTTCTTATTATTGCATCAAATCCACATGAGCATGCCACCGTTTTCATCGGTCCCTTCATTTTAGTAAGGTCACTTGAAAGGAAACAAGAAGAAGATAGCAAATAAAGGTAAAAATGGCCACATCTGTGCTGTATATACTCGAGGGTAAAATGTGAAAGGACGAAATTACCTCCCTCTTTGGCACTAACTAACAATACTTATGAGGGTTATTGTTTTAAAAAACATAATTTAATTTTGAAATCCTACTAAACAACCCAAACAAATATATTAAATAAGATAATCAAATTCTAATAACGACATATTTTCCATTAACAAAAGAGGATTACACACATTGGTTATACAAAATTGCTCGTGTGTATACACATGTCTTCATTCACTTTCACAAAATGAACATCAACATACCAACTAAACTGAACAACAACACATTTGAAACACATAAACCCTAATACAAACACATAAACCCTAAAACAAACAAAATACTGCCTGATCAACACAATCACCACAACAACGAACATATCACTTCTTCAAAACATCAACCTTCGCCACCAGAAACCCAAATATGACAAACACCAATCCGGCCACCAACAGTGACGAAGTTCAACTTTTTCTCCGTCTGCTCTAACCGACGATGCAATGCCAGTAGGTCTACCCTGCTTATGACAAAATCTCGACTTATATCTTCTTTCAGACGCTCCACTTCAAGTTTTTGTTCCGCAATTTGAGATCCACATTCACAAAAAATAGCATGCAAATCGTCAAAGTTGAGACGGTCCCTTGAATTTATTGATATCGATTCGGGTGACTGGTGGTGGGGTAGCCATCGTGATTCACATGAAAGGGATGTTTGTCGGATTGTCAGTATCGTTTAGTGGAAAAAGGGAATGAAGATTTAATGTTTCAACTGATTTGCCTCTCCTTTTGTGTCACAAGGGAGGGTCCACAGTAAGTAGTAACCCTTAGGGCCAAAGTATTCCACGTCGACCCATCTCAGTGATATGACCATCGATTTGACTCAGAGTTGACTCACTATGTTATGTGTATTGTGACTTGTATGGGTAACCTTTTAAAACATGTAAATGGACCAATTCAATCGGTAAATTAACAATTCGTTCCCCTAAAATGCAAAAAGAAAAAAAAACAATAGGGACCTTTTTAAACCATAACATGTAACATGGTTGGGCTACAGTGACATTTACCCTACTTAATATATACTAAGAAATTAATAAAGAAAGTCACAACAAACTACATTACTTATTTTAATGTACTTTTTTCTTCTAATTATAGTTTGCACCTTAGACTATATTAAATAATAAAGACAAAACAATTAAAATAACAAATAGTTCATTCACTTCACCGACCAACATGAATGACAAAACAACAGATTTACTATAATATCTTAAAAACCACATTTAACATGCACTTAATAGCAATACATCCGAACAACAATTAATGAAAAACCACATCTAACTTTGATTATTTGAATTTTAATTGCAAAGAAAAACGGTATATGAAATAGCTTGGGGGTTAGTTAGAGCAAACGATATGAGTAACCACGACACCGTTAAGGTTGACGTAGCATGCCCATAACGCCGTGATAACATTAAAAACACCACTCCCAAAACTTGTTAAGGCAAATCTCGTGGTAACGACAACAAGCTGGAACGGATAATTCAACCAATCAAACATTTTCCTCTCTTCTTCTCTTTCTACCTCTTAATGTGTTATGCAGTATGCACGCTACCCTTACTTTTTAGTTATTGTTGTCTTGTAACAATCATCCGTACCCGATCCTTTTAGATTTGTAATGCTCCGTAAGTTTGGATATGTAAATTACATATCTACCCTTGAATACACCGCCATTCTATAAATAAAACTCCAACTTGACGCTACGACCAGCAAGACTTGGACCCTAAACCTTCCCGCTTCCCCAAATTGCTTTCCTTCAAAATCTGTGATGCGAACCTCTCGAATTTGATATGGATAAAAGGCTTTCCTTAAGATTTAGGTATGGATTTGGAGGGAGAACATGATCAAGGATACAACGATGATGAAGAAGATATAACCCAAGAGGATGCTTGGACAGTTATCAGTTCTTATTTCGAAGAAAAAGGACTTGTTCGCCAACAACTTGATTCATTTGATGAGTTTATTCAGAGTACTATGCAAGAAATTGTGGACGAATCTGCAGATATCGAGATCCGACGCGAATCCCAGCACAATCCGGGGCACCAGCCTGATTGTGCAGAGGTTCGTTTTGGATCCTGTTTCTGTATATTGTTAAAGTTCCACAGAAGGATTAAGATATTAGTTTCGGAGAAGAGCTTGTTCAAATTGATTATTGATTGAAATTGAAAGTGGTAACCTAAGCTTGGCATTCTTAATTCTAGGGTTTTAACTCTAGTTTTGGTTTTGGAGGGAAAATCAGTTTAAACCTCTTGAAACTGATTGATTCACGAAACTATCTGAATCTAACTGGAAATTGTCCGACTGGATGGAATTCTAGAATCAGATAATAATAGTACTCATACTCTAGTTGAATTATCGAAATGTAAGGATACTTTGCAAGACTCTAGCGGTATCCCAGTAAGAACTTCTAAACTCCGATCTGAATTCAATTGAACTATTGTGAAACGATACTTCTAAATGAGCGGGATTCACATTCTATACTAAACAAAACAACTGAAGTATCAAAACATTCTGCATTTTCAAGGAAATTGCACTTTGACTGAACGGAAAAGTGCATACATTCATGTGATGTATTTGAATATTTGATATATCCTTCTTTATGCGCTTGCAGATGGTCTATAAGATCAGCTTTGGTCAGATTTATATGAGTAAGCCAAAGATGACAGAGTCCGATGGTGAAACCACCACATTGTTTCCAAAGGCAGCAAGACTGAGGAATCTGACATATTCTGCACCTTTGTTTGTTGATGTATCAAAGAAGGCTATAATGAAAGGGCATGATGGTGAAGAAGTGACAGAAACTGAAAATTTTGATAAGCTCTTCATTGGAAAGGTATGCAGAATGAAATCTTTGTACAATAAAGTGCAAGTGTTGAGTTGTGTAATCAATTTGTATGACACAAATTTCAGGTTCCTATAATGCTACGATCAAGTTACTGTACACTGTATCAGAATTCAGAAAAGGACTTGACTGAGCTTGGTGAGTGTCCTTATGATCAAGGTGGATATTTCATTATCAATGGGAGTGAAAAGGTTCTAATTGCTCAAGAGAGGATGAGCACCAATCATGTGTATGTGTTCAAGAAGAGGCAACCGAATACATATGCTTATGTTGCAGAAGTTCGGTCAATGACAGAATCTCAGAATAGGTCACCAAGTACCATGTTTGTCCGGATGCTTTCTCGGACTAGTGCCAAAGGGGTATGATATGTTGACAGAGGAAATAGCAATGTACTTCCATTTGTTTGTTTATCATAGCATTCTGCTTTCATCTTTTCTTATTACATCATTGTACTTTGAAAGTATACTGCTGTAACAGAAAGTAAGATGCTATAATACACAGATAAATGAAGTAGGTTGTTCTTTCTCTTGATTACTTGGCATCTTTTACAATTGCAGGGATCCTCGGGTCAATGTATCCACGCTACCCTTCCTTATATCCGAACTAAGATTCCTATCATTATCGTGTTTCGAGCACTGGGATTTGTAGCTGATAAAGATATATTAGAACACATTTGTTATGATTTTGCTGACACTCAAATGATGGAGTTGTTAAGACCATCACTAGAAGAAGCATTTGTTATACAAAATCAACAAGTATGCTTCTTCCCTTTTCTCATTTTCTTTACAGTTTTCCAATCGTTGTTTCTGATAGATAAAATGAAATGTAAACTTCATAATTAATTACCAGCCATGGCTCTTTTTCTTTGTTTTTTTGCAGGTGGCACTAGATTACATTGGAAAAAGAGGTGCCCGTGCTGGTGTCACGAAAGAGGATAGAATAAAGTATATTTTATTTTTTAGTTGTCTATTTGTTTTAATATTATCTGGTTTTACAAAATCCGTTGTTTCACAGGTTTGCCCGTGATATTCTACAAAAAGAAATGCTTCCTCATGTGGGTGTTGGAGAGTATTGTGAAACAAAGAAAGCATACTACTTTGGGTAAACCTTATTTTTTTCTATATGACATGCATTGTTTTTGGTATTTTTCTTGTTTTTATATAGAAGTAACTTGTTTTTACTTTCATCAGTTATATTATCCACCGTCTTTTGTTATGTGCTCTTGGTCGGAGGGCTGAGGATGATAGGGATCATTATGGAAACAAAAGGTTGGATCTTGCTTGTCCACTGCTCGGGAGCCTATTTAGAACGGTGAGGTTTTAATTTATATTTTATATTTCTTGGATTATTCTATTGATATGTTACATATGTATATGCATTTGACAAGTTGTCACCTCTTGTGTTAATGCCAGCACTTTCGGCAGTTAACAAGAGATGTAAGAGTATATGTTCAGAAGGTAACTCAAATTCTTCAAGTTTCATTGTTTCTTGTTATTTATCTGGCCATTGAATTTGAATCCATTATATTCGATAATCTGCAGTGTGTAAACAAGGGGAAAGATATTAATCTGCGATTTGCAATTAAAGCAAACACAATAACAAACGGGCTTAAATATTCCCTTGCTACTGGGAATTGGGGGAAAGCAAATGCAGCTGGAACTAAGGCTGGTGTTTCACAGGTGTTGAATCGCTTGACATATGCATCCACATTGTCACATTTACGAAGAGTAAATTCACCTATAGGACGCGAAGGTAACTTCTGTTATAGTTTTTCTCAAAAGGTCTGATGAAATTACTGTGTCTTTATTGTTTCTTGCTTTAGATTTAGTTCCATGGTGCATGATGCTTTTTGTTTTAGCTTGTCTTATATGTAGTTGTTTTTACATTTAAATAGGAAAATTGGCAAAACCAAGGCAGCTGCATAACTCACAATGGGGAATGATGTGTCCTGCAGAAACCCCTGAAGGGCAGGTTAGTAATTTGCTTTTGTTATGACTTATGATCTGATCATATCTGAATTCAAATGGTAACCTTATGTTTATGGTTATTGTTCTAGGCATGTGGACTGGTGAAGAATCTTGCATTGATGGTTTACATAACTGTGGGGTCAGCTGCATACCCGATTCTTGAATTTTTGGAAGAATGGGGTACAGAAAATCTTGAGGTAAACATCACCAAGTTTTTGAAATATTATATATATCTTCCTATAATGTTTTTTATTTTTTAATCGGCTAATCTTTTATTTCCATATTAGGAAATTTCCCCTGCTGTTATCCCACAAGCTACAAAAATCTTTGTAAATGGTGTGTGGGTGGGAATCCATCGCAATCCCGACATGTTGGTGAAAACATTGAGGAGATTGCGAAGACGAGTGAGTAAAATTTTATCAGATTAAAATTACTAAAATTTTGGTGCATAGTTTGGTAAAATATTGTTTATATGAATTGTTTTAAATGTCCAGGATGATATGAACACAGAAATTGGAGTTGTCCGGGATACTCGTTTAAAAGAAGTTCGGATATATACTGATTATGGTCGTTGCAGTCGCCCGCTTTTCGTTGTAGAAAAACAAAGACTTTTAATAAAAAAGAAAGATATCCAAAAGCTCCAACAAAGGGTATGTGGAGTCTTGTAAATTTTAAAATTTTTTTATGGTGTATTATCTTAATAACATCTTGTTTGTGTCTATTGATTCACAGGAAACCCCAGAAGATGGTGGGTGGCATGATCTTGTATCAAATGGATTCATTGAGTATATTGATACGGAAGAGGAAGAGACCACTATGATTTCCATGACCATTAATGTAAGCAGCAATACATGATATCAAGTAAAATGGAAGGATTTGAATAGTAAAAAATTACCAATTAGTTGCATAAAATGTAATTTTGTAGGATCTTATAAGGGCAAGGGAAAATCCAGACGAGTCTTATTCGGACACTTACACGCATTGTGAAATCCATCCGTCTTTAATCTTGGGTGTTTGTGCCTCAATTATACCATTTCCTGACCACAATCAGGTAAATTTCAATTCTAAATTGACACTGCTATTATTATACTTATGCTGTGTTGTGGGATCATTATATTATTATATTTTGTTTTATGTGTCAACAAACAGTCTCCACGTAATACGTATCAAGCAGCCATGGGTAAGCAAGCAATGGGGATTTATGTCACTAACTTCCAGTTCCGTATGGTACGCAACAAGTTTCTTCTTAAATGCAAGAAATAGCAATGTACTTTGATTGTTTTACTTATTATAGCATGAGCATCATATTTTCATTGATTCTGTTTCTTTTTAGGATACATTGGCCTACGTTCTTTACTATCCTCAACAACCACTTGTAACTACTCGAGCAATGGAGCACTTGCACTACCGAGAGCTTCCAGCTGGCATCGTATGCAATTATGCATTTTCCAATTCATATAAAAAATGCTTTATTTTCATATCAAAATACCATCCCTTTTTCTCTTGTGTTAGAATGCAATTGTGGCAATTGCCTGTTATTCTGGATACAACCAAGAAGATTCTGTTATCATGAACCAGTCCTCAATAGACCGTGGCTTCTTCAGATCACTCTTCTTCCGTTCTTACAGGTACTTTACTTGCTCAAAAGACACAAATACCCTCCCTCCAGACCATAGCCTACAAAACTTCACGTACATGTTTTTTACAGGAATGAAGAGAAGAGGATGGGGACACTTGTGAAGGAAAATTTTTGTCGTCCCAATAGATCTAACACCATGGTAAAAAAAACCCGTTGTGTTTCCGTTTCTTTTCCAAAACTGGTATTTTAACCTTTTTTTTTTTTTTTTTTATACAGGGTATGCGACCTGGTTCTTATGATAAATTAGATGATGATGGTCTCGCTCCTCCAATGAGTAGTGCCTTTTTAGGGTTCAGGGTTTAGGGTTTTTTTTTATCTGTACTAAAATCATATGATCATTGTAATACAGGGGACACGAGTTGGTGGTGAGGATGTGATTATCGGGAAGACAACACCAATTGCTCAAGATGATGCTGAAGGGCAATCCTCCAGATACACTCGTCGTGATCTCAGTACAAGCTTACGTCACAGTGAAAATGGAATGGTTGATCAGGTACCCTGCCCGGCTGCCCGTGTTTTTGAATTGTTGGATTAGATGTTAAATATGGAAAGTGGAGAGCTGCAGGTGCTGTTGACAACAAATGCTTATGGGTTGAGGTTTGTGAAAGTGAGGGTGAGGTCAGTGAGGATACCACAGATTGGAGATAAGTTTAGCAGCAGACATGGTCAAAAGGGAACAGTTGGGATGACTTACAGGCAAGAAGATATGCCATGGACTGTGGAGGGAATCACTCCTGATATCATTGTGAATCCTCATGCTATTCCTTCTCGTATGACAATTGGTCAACTCATCGAGTGTATTATGGGCAAAGTTGCTGCACATATGGGGAAAGAAGGAGATGCTACTCCTTTCACCGATGTCAGTGTAAGTACTTTCAATAAATAGCAATCTACTTCCATTGATTTTTCTTGTATTTTGAAAATTTTATTCAGTTAATCGCAGTGGCATCTAAATACAGAGCAAGAATTGAACAGACTTATCAAAGTGTAATGTCATGATAAGAAAATAGGTTGAAGTTGCAATGCTATAGCCTATAGTTGGGTATACTGACAATGTACAATGCCTTAATAAGAATAAAATTGAAAGTACAATCTTGTTAAAGAATTATGTTACGCACAAATGAAAGTACATTGCTATTTCTTGCATTTAGCCTATTATTTGTTGCATCATGCTAAAAGCTCTGAACCTAAGACCTATTTGTTTGGTTCATTTGATGTTTTCAAAGTACAATGTCCTGATAAGAAAAGAAATGGAAGTAGGATGCTATAGGTTTGTATATATTGAAAGTACAATGCCCTGTTAGTATACAAAATCGGAAGTACAACGATGTAATGGAAAGAAATTGAAGTAGGATGTTACAATACACAAACAAATGAAAGTACGTTGCTGTTTCTTGTAAACTTAAGTTTTATTTATTTAGTTCATTTGACTTGACATATTGTTTTGATGGGGACAGGTGGATAACATCAGCAGGGCTCTTCACAGGTGCGGTTACCAAATGCGTGGGTTCGAGACCATGTACAACGGTCACACAGGCCGACGCCTGACCGCGATGATATTCATGGGGCCCACTTACTACCAAAGACTGAAACATATGGTTGACGACAAGATCCATTCACGTGGGCGCGGTCCCATCCAGATCCTGACCCGACAGCCCGTGGGGGGTCGGTCACATGACGGTGGGCTCCGGTTTGGTGAAATGGAACGCGACTGCGTGATTGCGCATGGTGCGGCCCATTTCCTTAAAGAACGGCTCTTTGATCAGAGTGACACATATCAGGTTCATGTCTGTGAGCGCTGTGGCTTGATTGCAACTGCCAATCTTAGAAAGAACTCGTTTGACTGCAAAAGCTGCAAGAATAAAACTGATATTGTTCAGGTATGTAACCATCCTTCTATCGTCCCATCCTGTTAATTTTTAGTATATGGTAAAATATTTTATGATATGTATGTAGGTGTATATTCCGTATGCGTGTAAGTTGTTGTTTCAAGAGCTGATTGCTATGGCGATTGCGCCTAGGATGCTTACCAAAGATATGTGAAGGATAGCAAGAAGAAAGAGGCTTGAGTTTGTTGACTGAATTTTTGAAACTTGAATGTATATGAATTTAGTAGTTGACATAAACCCTAAACCTACAGCAATAGCATATAATGCCCATGGAGATACCTATAGATGAGAATAGTGAATTACTATTCTCATTCATATATAGCATTTAACCAAACCAGCAACTATACTAGTATATGATGAAAATTTTAAAACTCAATTGTTTCTTGTTTGTTATAAGAAGGCTTGGAGAACTTGTTTGTATTGTTTTACGCAAAATAACACTATATTTCGATTCTCAACGCCATAACAAGTCCACTTTGTAGTTTGAGTTGATTTCCGTATCTAAGTTTTAAGGGTGATAATGCTAATCTTTGAATAAAGTTGTTATTTTAGCCAATGTATATTTTTAATATTTTCCAAGCTTTTGAGTGTTATTTGATTTCCATTATTATTTGGTTTTTTGGTTCGAGGTGCTATCTTTTCTATGTAAAATAGTAACACGTTTTGATTTTCGTTCCAATTGCAACAAGTCCACTCAATAGTTTGGCATGCTTGATTGCTTTTTGCATCTAAGGTAAAGTGATAATGCAAAATTCAAAGAAACGACCGGATTAGGGAACAAGGGAACACCTCCCCTGTGTCCCATTATCCTATACACCTAGTTCCCGAGTTTTATTAAAGAAAAGATACACCTAGTTCCCGAGTTTTAGTAAAGAAAAGAAATGAAGAAGAAAGTATGGAAGAAAAAAAGTTTAATGTTGATGTTCTTGAGTTAGAAAGAAAGGAAAAAAAACATTTCTTTAAGCCTACTTCCCTTCAAATCTTTTTCCAATTTGGGAGGAAGATTAGGAGAATATCACTTTTCTTTTCTCTTATTCCTTCCAAAAAAATAATTTTGAAAAAATATAGTTTTATCTTTTTTTTCACTTCTTTTTCTTTTCTCCTTAAATACTTTTTTTTTTGTCTTTATGCTCTGCCACCTCAATTTCTTATTGCTATTCACATTCCTTAGAGGGTTTTAAACCTTCTGCAGAGCCCTCTTTGGGGAAGTCATGATCATTCTACAAAACTCTATTTTCCATGGTTAAAATGTTCGAACACCCCATTCCCTTCGGTCATTTGATGAAATTTCTCAACTTTAATTTGAGAAATTTTAAATTAGAAGCTAAATCCATTAATAAAACGTTCTTGGTGGAAAAAAATGTGAATGAAATGAAATTGATATCAATTTATTACTACATTTATTGTAATGATACGTGGAAAAAAATTAATTCAAAATAACCACAAAATAAAATTTAATAAATTGAATGAGAGAATGACATGTGGAAAAAAATCTTTATGTATCGAGGTTGGAGTCGACCCATTGGCGAGGTACACCAATAAATGCCATTTTATTAAAGTATTTTAGATCAAATTAATATAAAAATAAATACATTACAAAAAAATAAAAATGCATCTAAAATTAGTTCTTATTTTATGTTATAATATTGTTTAGAGATTTGATTTCATAGCAAAATTCTACAATTTTCGACTTCTCTTTGAATTTTGCAAGTGCACTCCCTCCTAATTTTAGTCCAAGGTCTCATCGGCTGTTGCACACACTCCACTCTCCGGACCCTTGAGAGTTCGAGGCGTATACACTTTACAGGTGGTGTCTTTCTGGTCAGACGATTCAGATATTGAACAATAATGGAGGAAGACGACGGAGCTCCATCAGGGCGGTCGTCACCACCGACACCAAAAAAGGTTAAGCTGGAGTCAGAGGAACCAAAAGAATTATTGAAGGCTAAGGATCATTCTGAAGATGAATCTGAGGAAATCGAAGAAGATGAAGATGAAGAGGAAGATGGAGATGGAGATGGATCACCACAGTTGCCGCCGTTATTGGACATGATTGACCTTCCACCCGCTTCCACTTTACCTCCTACTCCGCCTCTTCCGTCTTCCCCTAGAGGTATCTTCTCCTCTTTTCCCCAATTATGTTTCTATATTGGTTATGTGTTTTGATATTTTCTTTTCCTTTGATTGGGACTTCGATTAATATACTTGTATGTGACTCGAGATGTATGTAGTTTGATATTCAGAACAAATTGAAGAATTGCTTATGAAGCACTTGAAAATTAGGGGCGTTTGGTGTGTGTTTTCAAATACTTTATAATCAGAATCATATATAATCAATTAAAAAAGGTAGCCATAGTTGAGTAAGCTTCAATTCACCCTCAATAGTAGTTTTCATATGTCATCCCTCTAACTGCATTTCCAAATCTTATAATGTTGGTGCTAATAACAGAAAATTAGAACACTAGAGGAAAATTGATTATTGCTACCTGCAATTTCCATAACCACTTTTGCAGCATATTCAAACACCCGTTTTATCATTTAATTTCCACCAGTTTTGTTGCAAGTTATGACCTCATAATCTGTCATGGTAAGTTTGAGGTGTTTTGTGGTTTGGAAGAACTAATGTGTCACATCTCAGATTTAAACATGGAGCAACAAGATTCTGAAGATGAAGGACCTCCACCTGGATGGGATAACACATATCAGCTACAAGAACAAGTGGAGCATATGCTTACACCTGCAGCTGTTTCAGCAATTTCATCAGGTGAGTTAAGCTGCCATCATCACTTTATACTATATGCCATTGTGAAACCTTGCATTCACCTGCATCTTAACTATGTATGAAATCTTTAACAGAACATTTCGTACCTTAACGAGCTTGTAAACTTTGTTCCATTTCAATTTTGAAAAGGAAAAAGATAACAGTAGTAAATTAAGACAAATTTAACTATATTATTAGAGTAACTTATATTTCTATGTCGGTACTATTTAGTTTCTTAAGGATTAACTTTTACAGTGTAAACCCAATGATATCCCACTGTCAATTTTCCTGGAGGAAGAGGAACCAAATCCTAAGTTGTATTAGAGTGTAATGCATTCATCTCATCAACCATGTTAATAAGAGCCTCCCCTACATCTTTAGGAGTGGAAACAGAAGACAAGGGCAATACAACGACAATATATGAAGGAGATAAATGATACTAGCTTAAGGAATTATAATTTAGATAAGGATTGGAAGTAGAATGGGTATTTTTTTCATTTAGCTATCAGTGAATTTTTAGGGTTTTTATCGGATATAGATTCTGTGCAGGCTAATGTGGTTTGGCTAGGTCCCCTTAATGGCTGGAAAGACAACACAACTGGGAATATTGAATCACTAACACCACATGTTTACCATGAGAAAGTTGTAATTGTATTTTATAAGATATATAGTACAAGAAGCCTTAAGTTATACTAGAGCCTACCTTACTAATCTAAGGAACTATGTAAACTAGGAAATTATACACATTAAGTTTACACCTAATATTAGCTAATTTACAACTACTATTCAACAAGCATTATATTATTATCTTTTAAAAAAAAACATATCGTACACACATGCGTGTGCTTGCGTGTGTGTACATATATGTGTGCGTCTATGTATGTATGTATGTATGTATGTATCACATTAAATACCCACATTAAGTTATAAATGCCTCACAATAAGAAAGAAAATAGTAGATGAAAGAGGGAAATCTAATGGAAAAAATCTAAGGATCTTACGATAAAAGGAATTTGCATTGGGGGTGAGAAGACGGATATAATCACCAAAGATCATCTTTGAGTCTCTCATCATCATCATCTAATTGCAGTTCACAACTACAAGGTTAGCTTTTGGGGGAAAGTTCCTTATTTGACCTAATCTCAAGGATTTCCCTTTTTGTATAAATAAAAATAAGCGTTCCAGTTTCTTGTTTTTTGGCTTGATTTCTGGCTCTTTTTAAATGTTAGCTTTTAGGTATTTATCTTTTATGTATGGATTTTCTTTGAGCTGTTGTTTAAGCACCTAACCGGTTTCGTTTTGCTGCTTGATGATGAGCTTCCTATATGGTTCACTTCTTCTAGAAGGTCAAAATAGTTAAATTAGTTAGAAGTCAAAGTCAAACAGGTGTTAGCTCTCTCTCTCTCTCTCTCTTTCATGAGGTGTAGTCTATTAGAAGAGTTAGTTTCTAGAAGCTAAGCCAGTGTGCAAATTAAAGGGTCAGGTAGTATTAGGGATTATGTTTTTACTGTATGAAGCTGTCAATGGGAGAGATTCTCACATCTCAAAAGTGAGAAATCATTCAATTCAAGCCTTAGTTCCACTCTCTCTCTTGATTTCTATCAAATCTGTATCACTTGATTACTATCTAATTTCTCAGGTTGTTTGATGGATTACTTAGAGTCTTAGACTATATATAGGATGATTTACCAATTAGCACCACATCACCTAGGTGACCACTGACCACAACCCCTTTTAATGTATGGGTTTTCTTTAAGTTCCTTTGAGATTTTAATGTGGACCCTATTTGTTGTGATGAAATGAGTGTTATGTAAACCTGTTTTTTTGGTAAGGCATGTATCCTAATTCCTAATGATCAGACATATCAGATATAAAGATGGAGGATGTGCAACAAGATGACCGGAATGGAGAGGATGCTGCACCAGAACTAATTGCTTCAGGTGAAATCTTTTGTTATATTTGTAATATAAGTGAGATTCATTTAAAGGAATGATCATAAACTTTTAATGCTAGTTATGCTCATTTGGGAATGAAAATTTTTAAACAATCATAACCCTAATAAGTTTTATGATATGTAAACACTCAGATATGAAGGTGGAAGAAGACTCAGAGGATGAAGGACCTCCACCTGGATGGGATTCCAAGTGTCTGCCCGAAACTGAATTACAAGTGGCATATCCACAAATTACTCAATCAGGTCAAACAGAGATCTCTTTCTAGTTAATTATAATGTTTTATGATTGTGATTAATAAATACATGTACATGATGCCAATTGAATGTTCATGCAGACTTACTTTTCCTATCTCTTGAATTTTAGTTATTGAATTTGAATGCAGTGGTGTTTGGTGGGGCTCACACATAAAACAATAAGTACATATAAGAAATGTAAAGGAAATATATATATATATATATATATATATATATATATAAAAAAGCCATGTGGAAGACAAGGTGGATGGTTTTGCCACA